CTAAGAAATGCTTCGCATTTAGAAAGTCACAAACAAATCTTTCGCTGTCAGGGGTCCTTTAACTGTTCCCACTAAGCGCACGCTTCCCGTTTTGCATGGCAGCTGGGGCACATTCACTGTGACAGCACTGAGGCAAGTACCACAAGTGAATGCGATCTTCATCACTTCATCTACAGAGGTCGCAAGCATGGCAACACCTCTTATACAATCGTTTAAGTCCCCTCACTGTTCAATGCTTTCATTGAGATGAAAGTTTTAGATGCCTCATCAAATGCAAGAAGTGACCGTCGGTAGCATTAACACGAGTGATGCAGGAAAAAGAAAACACCATCATATCACATGTTGACATAATTTAAATTGTCGCTAATGGGCCAATCAGAAGGCACTGCCAAAACCCGGGAAGTTCAGAAAACTTCCAATTCCTATTTATTTATTTTTATTCAAGTACATCCCAGGTTCCTATTTGAACATTACGTTGAGCAGGCTGTAATTTGAAATTCAGACAACATATAGTGTGTGTTATTGAATTTACGTCCAGGTAAGTAGTGCAAAGTGAATGCTAACTCCAAATCTGTTTAATACACTGGACATATTCATTCAGCGAACTGGGAGTGAGGCAACGCACAACAGACAGAGGAGGAACCATACAGCACAATGTCTGTTGTCTTCCTTAGTCTTGTGTGTTGCCGCCAGAACAAATATGAACTAGTACTAACTAGCGCCGATTTCAATCCTTTCACACTGGACATATTGAATTAGTATTGATTAGACAAGAAGCAACAGAAAAAATGCACACGAAATGGCTGAGAAAGGCCTTAAGATCAAGTTGAACTTCATTACACAATGGCTGTATCGATACTAGAAGAAAAGCAATAAAAAGACAGAAAAAACAGGACAACACACTACCGAAAGCTCAACATTTTTTTTCTTTCAGAACACATATTTATAATACGCTCATCTCGTAGAACCCTTGCCATAATGACCAATAAGAAAAGTAGGGCTGCTCTGCACTAGTGTTGTGAAGACTGTGGCAGCAGAGCTGGTAGTGTTCTCTTTCTCATCTTTTTATTTTTCTCTCTCTCAGTGCTTCTATCCCTATCTAAGATTACCTGCTATCTCTCTCTATTTCTCACTGTCTTTTTTTCTCCCCCTTTTCATGTGACTTTTTTTATTCCCTACCTTTCAATTCTCCTCCTTTTGCCTTTCGTTGTCTCTGTTTCTCTTCCTTTCGAAGACATAAAGATGTCTGCGTGCTTCTGACCTTTAGGGCTTCTTCCTTGCATGATGCCAGCACACATGACGAGTGAGCCGCTTTTTCGACAAAAAGGATGCGTTGCAGCGGTCCCCAAAAAAGGGGCGCTGCCCTGTGTGGGTGGGAACATGGTTCTTAAGATTGTAGTTCAGACTGAATGCGGCTGGACACAAGTGACATGCAAAGCGGCGCTCGCCTGTGTGCTTGAAAAGGTGCCTTTTCATTTTGTTTCTGTACAAGGTCATGTACGTGCACTGCCGGCAAAAAATTAGTAGGCCTTGTACGGACACAAGTGAGTGGTATTCTTCCAAGGAAGTTGGAGACGAGGAACCTGCAAAGCCACAGCAAGCACACGAAGGCAATGCAAACAGTGTGCCACAAGCTACATGAAACAGTACCGTAGCAGCTGACAGTTAAATGTTGCTGCCTTTGTAAGTAAAATTTATGATACCTTTAGCCTTGCAAATCACATGTTACTGCAGTGGCAATGGTACACTGCCCCTGTACATGTCACAGAAGTTCTCGTCTGTACACTAATACAATGCTTGACATTAGACAACACATGCTGACCATACAGAGGCATGATTTAGATGAAATGCTGAGACTACACTCACCTTAGCAACCACAATTACTTGCACATGTGCCAATAGCTCAAGCAGTCAAGCACGAAACTTGTACGTTCTTCACACGGGAGTGTTTAAACAATGATACATGGCAAAACACCATGGAATTTGACCACATGACAGATACAAGGTAAAACATGAGATAAAGAAGTTAAGATGCTACACACTGCTCAATATAAAAAAAATAAACACAGTACAATCAGAATGCTTACAATGCCACCAATATTCCTGAAAGTGGAAATACAGGCATACTACAGCAGCACTTTTATGCCTGTCTTTTTTTCTGTTCGCAATGTAGACAAATTATCATCGTGCCAGCACTGCGAGATCAAGCAAAGTTATGCATAGCTGTGCCTAATTAAGTTGATTTTATCATAGGTAAGGGTAATTAAACCTGACTAAGCATAGGATTGTCAAATTAGCTAATTTAATTAAGCCATATATGTAGCATTCTAACAAACTGAATTAAGTCACGCTGAGATCAAGGTGCACCGACCATGTCAAGCTCGGCAAAATGAGCTGAGCTAATCCTAATTAATAAAGCACAGTTGGTGCTAATTAGAATTAGGTTGAATTGGAATGCAAGCTAATTTAGACCAAGTCTCAATAAATAAAATTAGGCCAATTAAGCTAGTAAAATATTTAGGCTACTTGGCCTGGGATGGCCAAGTTATCCCCCCCCCCCCCCCATTGGACCAGATCGATATTTAGTTAACACTTGTGATTTAGATTGCGATGATGTGGATACTTCATGCACCTGTGTGTGAGTGCACGTGTGCCTCACCAAGCCAGGACCAGCCGAGCATTGACCAGCTCTGTGCTGCCCCACTTGCGCGACTCAATGAATGCTGCGCAAAATTTTTTAATGCGCTATAACAAGAATAGCAGTGCTGTACACATTGGCAGAGTTTAGAAATTTCCTCATAATGTCTTTATAGTGCTTCCTTAGAAGCATAACGGTACAGCAAAGTACTAAAGGTGACCTATTTGCCGGAAGACCATTCAGTCAACTACATGAGCACATATAAGACAACATTCTACGTACTTTACCGCTACAAAATTCCCTACCCTGAATGAACACTAAAGCTACACATTGATGCCATGTTACAGAGGCTGTATGGACATGCCTACTAAATGATCAACTTAGAATCGATGTAATGCAGAGCACAATGTGCTTGTTAACTTGTTTGGTGACTGCTTCATGGTGTTTAACTAGCCAAAGCCACTCAGGCTATGGGCTCAGTTCACACCAGCTATCAGCACCAGTCGCACGACTACTTACAACTGGCGATGAAAAGGCACGTAAAGGAAGCTGATGTTCCAACCTACAAGCATTATATACCAATCCCCACAAAGAGTTCAGGTCTTCTTGCTGTTCCTGGCTAATGGTTCAAAGGTTTCGGCCTGTAGTCACACGATTGAAAAATTGAACAGCAAGCTGAGTGAACGTAGTTCGTTGCGACAAAAAGGGCCAACTGATGTCTTAAAGTATCGGTAGTGGATGCTGAAAGAAGTAAAAAAATCTCATCAGTACATCCAAGGCTGTTTTCACAGGCTCTCTTATCTCTGCGCCTAATTTTTAAAAACTTCAGTGACACATTTACTTCAATGAAAACTGAAATGATTAGGGCACTTTCCTTGGTGCAATGCAGTGAAGCTGATTTACTGTATATTGTTAAGCAATAAATGTTTATTTTTCAAACCACGTAACATTGAATTGGCAAGTTTGAAAATCGGCATTTTTGCATTGTTTTTGGCCAAAAAGACTCTGTAGGCAAAGGGTTAATATGCAATGACATCGCACAGTACACAGTCCTCCAGCATATCACTTCTGTCAAAATACAAGCACCACAGCTACATCAAACCCACATCTTTTGGGTCAGCAGCCATGAACTGTAACCATGTAGTCACAGCAGTGGGCCAGTTCATTAAGTCAAAGCAGTTGCATTTTAGGAATCACAGTATTCACATCATGAGAACATGAAATGCTGTAACCGATAGATAATAAGCAATAAATAACAAGACAGGTTGTAGAGAATATGAAAGATGTTGAAGAAAAACAATGGATCCATGCAAAAAACAGTGCCACGCTTGATGGTGAATGGGAATGTGGCAACTTATATATTGAAAATGACTGTTCGTGGGCTCGTGACATTTTATAAAAAAGTAAATAGGATTAGTCGGACTACGTTACTTTTTATATCTGGTTGATTTAAAAGCATGACACAAGAATGGAAATGCAAACAATGACAGGGATTCATGCATAATGAACAGAAATTCACACTGTAAAGAGACTTCAGAAAGTTCTACAACTATTCATAGCAGTTAATTACCCACAATTTTTTTTCACACAGCTGCACTTGCGTGAACATGTGCAATGGTGAACCAACACGCAAATATGAGTGTGTTAATCTTTATAAACAAAGATGGTTATGCTAGCTCCTCTATGCTTGTACAATGCAATCTATTTAAATACTGTAATAAGCCCATTTTTCCTTTCCAGTTTGAGTGAAATAACATGTACAAAGACATATTGTATATCAATGGTTTTAATGTATTTACATGCAGCAGCCAGTAAACAGTGCACAATGTCTTCACAATATATATATATATATATATATATATATATATATATATATATATATATATATATATATATATATCATAACAAAAGTACACTGTATTTGCCGTGCCACCATCTCATCGGCTGTGAGAGTTTTTCCCTCGTTTGCTCACACGGTCCCTCGTTTCCCGATGATGTCCTCTTCTGTGCGACGCACACGTATAACGCTGCTATTGTGTCCCCATAACCGTGTTAACATAACTCATAACACCACAGCATTGCGCTAAGCACACCACACTATCACACAGTCGCACTCGAGCCACACTCACTCATCACAGGACACGGGGATAACTTGCTATCCTGAAGGAACATTATGGCGATACGCTAATGGCAAATATGTAAAGCCATGTTTGCATGCCCAAACAGCCAAAGCTCTTTCAATGTCGTGAATCGACAATGCATGCATCAACAATCTAACAAAGCAGTGCATGATGTTTAGTACAATGCTCTGTAGGAGAAGTGCAATTACTTCATGCTGATAATTGAAAATTAAACACTGAAATGAAGCAGATACTCTTCTTTATTATATTTATAAACTAACACATTCAAAAACAAACATCTGATTTCACCTGCCACAAAATAACTGATTAAAAAGCAGTATCAGTAAATATAGGAATGTCACGGTCAAAATCATTAATTAGACTCATACTATAATGTAACCAGCCAAACAAGCAAGAAGTTTTTAGGAAAAGGTGGAGAGGGTCCATTCAGTGGCACTTAAAAGGCATAGAAACATCAGAAAGAAATCTGATATCACTGTTAAAGCGAGCATAAATGCTCGCAGCACACCCAAGTGTAGAAGCTAAGAAAAATGGAGTCAATTCCAGCCTTCCAGACATACTAAAGATCAGTTTATCCAACTCGCACAATGAATTCATAACAAAAACCGATGCGTTGATTTGTGTTCTTGCTTTTCGGGATAGCAAGAACACAAATCAATCATGAAACTAAATACAACATACTTTCCTTACTTTTAGTCATTAGTATTAGTGAAGAAATCCCAATGCACGCACACTGCACTTATTTGGACATATTTAAAGCCTACATACAACTTGAGTCTTCGAACTAGTTGGTCTCGCAAAATGCACCTACGTATCAGAACGGTTCTTCCAACACTGATCAAGCTCATATATTTTACTTGCAAGGTGCATTGGCCAAAGGACTGACAAATCACTGCAGCAAGAATAGCAGCAATAGGGGCACACAGTCTGAAGTTGTACAGCCTAGGAAATTTAAAGGACAAGAAAGAAAAGTCACTCTCAGCCCAATTTCCACCAGGTCGCATGACTACATTCACTCACCACTGGAATTGCAAGGAATCTCCAATGAAACAAGCTCTAAAGACCTATGTAGGAAGAGCTTGCATTGTTGCTTGTTCCATCCAGTGCAGCAATGACACCATTACCACAGTAACAAACAAGACGCGCAGCTCCCTGAAGAAAGGGTGAGGCCAATAGCACTGCGTCGAGTTGAAAATATTTCACCTTTTGAACATGAGTGCAAAAAATGTGAAAGCCGAGGTTACACAGGAGAGTACACATACAAGAAAACTTTCGCATAATAACAGACCCTGTGGGTACATTTTTTCTATACTCGGAGGCCACAAGTTCCAAAGCAGACAGTGCCACTGTTATCTCAAGTTGCACAGCTCTCTTTTTTCTCATGACACTTAAGTTGCACAACTTTCTTTTCAATGACACTATCTGCTTCCGTTAGCAAAACAGGTTAGCAAAACAGGCAGACAAAAATTCTTCAAACTTGCAATCTTGAACTTGCACCTCTTCAACAATGCTGAGTGTACTGCATGCATAAAACAAGGTATCTCGCGAATGTAGCCAGGCAAGAGAAAGAAGTCAGATAAGTCTTCCGTATGGACATCCAACTCATGCAAGAGAGAAGCTGGAGCCAAATAGCAGCCAGCGCATGTATCAATCTTCGCAGTTATTTTTTTTTATTAACAGCTGCAACAGCATATATCTAGCATACACGGGAAAAGAACTCGAAAGAAATCCAGATGATAACCTCTTTTTTCAGACATTGCCTTGATCACTTGCAACTTCAGATTGATACAATCAAAGGCCTACACTCATCTGCATCCTTTCCGCTAGCAAGAGTTATAGCCAGTGCCAATAAGTGTTAACGAAGCTGTCAGCGGTGCAGTGATTTTACTGAGTAGTTAAAATATTGAACCTACCAGCATCTGTGCAATCACTTATCCAGAAATTATCTCTAGCAACTAGTCTACACAACCCACAAACAAGAACTAGGTTCTTCAAAAGTGAAGGAGGGCTTCTTAAACACTGACGGAGTAAATACAATCAAACCCCTTCATAAGAGACAAATCGGTATAAGAGATAGCAGTGTGCCTAAAGTAAAATACAAGTTGATAGGAAAATGCATACATAGTACCCTGCTTATAAGAGACATCTCGTATAATAGACAAGAATTGCTGCCCAAAGCATGCCTCTTATAAAGAGGTTCAACTGTATATAAGATTCAGGTTGCACTGCGCGAAGTGATACAGATGAATGCACAAAAGTAATAGCGGAAAAAGTAACACACTTTATTTTCGTTCATGTGCTCAGCACAGCAACACAGAACAGCATAATCCCCATTCAAGATAAGCCAACCTTAGATATAATGGCATGTGTGCGAAGCCACCCAAAGGCACTTTTAAGAAATTTTTTAAAAGAATGACAGGTGTTCCTCTAAGCAACACTGCGAAAGAATCTCGATAGCTGAGGGACCTTTCAAAGCAATTTACGCTAACAACAACAAAGTCGATCCAGTCCCATAAGAAAAAAAACCTGCGTGCCCATAATCTTAGAGCTTCTTGTTTGCAACACAATACCACCTATGGCGGGCGAGGTCCTGTTTCCGAGAAAAGGATGCACTGCAATGGTCACAGGGAAAGGGACGCTCCCCCGTATGGGTGCGCATGTGGTTGTTGAGGTTGTGTTTCACCGCAAAGGACGCACTGCAGAGGCCGCACGAAAAGGGGCGCTCCCCCGTGTGGGTTCGTATGTGGTAGTTGAGGTGATGCTTCAGCGGAAAGGAGGCACCGCAGTCGCCGCAGGAAAAGGGACGGTCACCTGTGCGAGCGTGAACACTCTTTTTGAAATTGGACTTCTCGCTTAAACACAGTTGGACACAGGCGGCAATCGGAGTGGCGCTCACCCGTGTGCTTGCCAAGGTGCTTTTTCATATTGCTCTTGTCCTTAGTTACGTAGTCGCACTGCGTGCAAGAATGCAGTCTGCCTTGTACGGACACAAGCAAACGGTACTGCTCCAGAGTCACCCAAGGCGAGGGACCTGCAAAGCCGCAGGGAGCAAAGGAACATATTGCAAACGGTGTGTCGAACAATACGTGGAACTAAACTGTAGCACCAAACAAGCAAAGGTCCCTTCATTTCTGTGTGGTATAGATGATAACATTAGTCTAATGAGCCACATGATATTACACTGGCAATGGTACACTGATCCTGCACAAGTCACACAAGTTCTCATGTCAGTATAAATGTTATGCTTCATTTATGCAAACACCTGCTGCTATTACTGACACAAATGACTTAGATGCAGTTCTGACACTACACTTGCTCAGACGGCCAAATTTATTTGAACATGTGCGAGTAGATTAACACATTCGTAACAAGCACCTGTTCCCGCTATATCTGCATGATAACCACGACTTCAAGTTCCAATTTTGGCTCTCCATGAGCACTTCTGCACAGCTAACGTGATAAGTGGCATTAATGACTAACCTGGTCGTGTGACTTGTGATAGGCACAGCCCTGAATGAGGCTTATGAAAGACAGCAGAGTAGAGGCTTCCAGATAATTTCAACTTCCCGAGTGTTCTTTAACATGCACCGACATTGCACACAACACAGTCCTGCAGTATACTACTTCCACCAAAATACAAACGCCATCGCTGGGATTAAATGAATATCTTGCGGGTCAGCAGCTATGCCCTGTAACCATTTAGCCCTTGCGATGGCTTAGCTCATCAACACAACAATGCAGTACAGGCATTTCAGGCATCACACCATTCATACCACGAGCCCGTTAAGTGCCCCAACTTATACACAACAAACCAGAAAGAACAAACACAAAATGGGTTGGGCAGAACATGAAAGACGATACAGGAAAACATTGATCCACGTGAAAAAGACACCATGTGTGATGATGAACGGACATACAGCCACATTTTATTACATATATAGAAAGAAGTGTTTCTCAGCTAGTGGCACTTCATACTTTTAAAAAATGTAGTTAGTTGAACTGTGTTAGTTTTCACATGTTGCTAGTTTGAAAGCACAACACAAAAACAAAAAAATGCTAAGAACAACGGGGATTAATGCATAATGAACAGAAATTTACAATGAAAACTAGGGGTGTGCCAATAGTGAAATTCAGAGCCAAGCCAAACACATAGCGAATAGTACCCATACCAAATCGAATCTAATACTATTCGAATAGTAAAGCATACTTTTTTAAGACAAGCCTAGAATTCTAAAACTTTTTTATTTCAAACATTCATGAACTTTGAATTGTATAATTATCAATATATTTGATGGACAAAAGATACTACAACTTTGTAAACTGAGGTAAGCTCATATAAAGTAGATACTGGATTTAGCGCTTAAAGGGCCCGTAAACCACCTCGGATATTTTTTCAAAGTAGATACTGGATTTAGCGCTTAAAGGGCCCGTAAACCACCTCGGATATTTTTTCAAACATTTCAAGTAAATGCATGCATTGTGTGCAGAATTCCATCGCGATCAACGATTCTACACGTGGCAGTGCTACAAGCCGCTGGCACGCCACAAATTACAGGAAACAATCTCTCCTTCTTTTCGGTTGTTTCGGGTCTGCCCGTGCCGCACCGTTCCATATCACTGACGTGCTGAGCCAAATATGCTGTGATTGGTCATACAAGAGCCTACGACTACTAATCAGTCTGCAAGCAGCTGTCCGCGCTGCTTGTAGTTGTCCGTCAAGTTGCCCGCATGCGGGCAACATGTACGGGGCACGACGTGTCCCCTTACGGGTCCAACGCGTTGTCGATCCTTTGAAAGCGTGCGCACAATGCAGGGTCATTACCGGCACGATTACAGCAACCACAGTTCACCAACAAGCACGCAGCTGCAAAGCAACTGACGGAGCCGACGGCCGGAGTCGCATCAACCGGAAGTAAACGGTGTTTCAAGCAGCGGATCAGCGATGGCGTATGCCACGCGAGATTAAGAGGGGTCCTCGGCGAGAGGGCAAAGTCGCTTGGGAGAGGATACCAGCGGAGGGAAGTGCGGGATGGAGCAAAAGGAGTGATCGTCGCGGTTTCAATAATCAAACGCGTTTAACTCTGTAAGGGCAGCACCGTTTCAAAAAATTCTCACGGCTCTGTGTTCGTTGTACACTCGTGCATAATTTCCCCACAACTGAATTTCGACCTCTGGGTGGTTTACGGGACCTTCAAGGATTTTCCACTTGAGTAGCTAATTGAATTGTTCAAGTTTTTTATTATTTATACACCTCTATTATAAACTGATCCCAAAATCGTTTTTAATATATTGTAGTTCAGTAGTAAATTGCTACAACTAATCATGGCAGTAATTACAATTTTTTTTTTCTCCCAGCTACACTTCTGCAAGCACGTGACCTGTTGAACCAACTAGAAAATATGAGAGCATTCATTTTTATAATCCAAATCTAAACAAACCTTCAAAAGACAGAGTTCCTTTCTGCTCATGATGTGAACCAAAACAATGCAATAAGTCCTGTTTTATTTTAATGAACTAACATGTATGGAACGATAACGTATATTAGTTATAGTACTTTCACCGTATAGTAGTTAAACGTATAGTACTATACATACTTTTAAGCCCGTATACTACTTTCACCATAACAAGTGAAAGTACTATGTATCAATGATAATGTCTGATACTTGCAACTTCTACGATGCTCCGTCGAAAGTATGGACGCATCTGCAATGCCACAGAAATCACCGTTAAAGCCAGCCTGAGGATGTACACCACACCCACACAAACTTCTACCATTTGTAATAAAAACACATGTGCAAAAAAAAATTACTCGTATTCAAATGCATTTATAACCAGTGTTAGAATTGATCTGCTACATTTCAAGATATATCCACAAATAGACATTAACATCAAGCTGCAGCCGCTCTTTTGACATTATACATTTCAGAAACTACACCGCAAAATATCTTTCGTGCAATCCAGCAGCGTGTAGGATGTGAATGCTCAGACAAATCATGGCACTTGGAATTTTGCAGCATGGTGCTCCGCATTGAACTCTTTCTGCAGCTACAGCTCAACAACTATGGCCAAATCATGCACTCAGGAAATTAGTACAGCCAACCATGCACACTATTTGCTGGACAAACACCTTCTCCATTTTATCAATGCGAGATAGATGCGTCCGATCTAGCCATTCATTACCCTCTCATCTAACCCTTTCTGGTTCTCGCCCATCGTCTAGCCTTCGCTTGTGCTTTGCGGTCACGGGGCAGAAAACTTCTCATGCAGTGCCTCACGACGAAAATTATATGAAGTAATTTTTTGTTCAGTCGTGTCCAAATCCGTGGAGCGGCTTCTTGCATTCCTCGTGTTCACAATATTGATGGTCACGCTGGCTCTGTAAAAGATCCGGTGTTTTCAGATAGTGTATCACGTTTTGTGGCCCTATGCGGGCAACCAATGTGGAAGTGTCACTGCAACACTACTGCATGCACTGTGCTGTGATGGCGGTATTGCTTCGAGCCACAAAGAATGAGCACAAAGGAACAAATCTGACAAACATGATATTTAAGTGAAAAGCACGTGTATTGCACCTGCGGGGGAAAGCGCCCTGAAGAATGTTTGAGACAAGCAGCGCTACCCATCATGTAACGTTGCACTCCGACCACTCCTTGAACTAAAGTAGATTGATGGCTCCCGTTGATAAGCAAGCATTTGCACTGGCATTGAAAGTGTGGTGACCAATGCGCACAAACCTGCCCGGCGTGACACACCCACCAGCACCAACACGCTTCCGATAAGGAACAGCGCCACTGCAGCTTCACCGGAAGCTTACGTCACCACTGGTGGCTATAAAACTAAAGGCCTTCATGATTGCTCCGTTACCTCTGACAAGCGTAGCGCACGTAAGCTCGATCTGATGCTTTCCCTATAAGTGGAATAAACAGTTATGTTTTGATGTTGGGATCTGTCAATCTGTCGACACGGCATCCCACAAAAGAAATAAAAGGGGCGTTGGCTAGGCTTATCAAGCGTTTTCCTAGCGACCCAGTAACAAATTAGTGCCACTAGTCACAGTAGACATGGATAAAAGAATTGTAAGCTTTAGTCGATAGACATTATGCACCCCATCCTCATAAAACACTGCCCTTCTTTACGACAGACTCTGGGATAACTTATCCTAAAGGGCAATGGCTACCCATTGAAGGCATATTTGGAAAGCGACGTTAGTGCGCCTACACAGTCAAAGCTCTGTCAATGTATTAAAGTGAAGAATACAGGCATCACCAAGCTAATAAAGCAGTACAGGCAATTTGGTCATCCAAATATTCGTATCATGAGGACACAAAATGCACTGACTGACATGTACGTTACAAAATATGAAAAGACTGACTTACGAGAACACAGCGTCCCTTGGTCAAAATAGCATTTAAGCGCACCATTAGAACAGAAACAAAAGGCACAATGGGGCTAACTCCACAACAAAGTAACACCAATTTTCTGCTGAAACGTCATTTCAATAGTTCTGTATGTTGCAGTCCAAAAGCAAAATGCTGCAATAAAGTGTCACGTTATCTTGCCAATAGTCTGAGCTAGTTGCGTGATATAAGAACATGCGCAATGCTAAACGATTTAGCAAAGACAGAAGGAGAGATTACCAACTACCTGCCGTGACTTTCCTATTCTGAGCTATTGCTTTAACAACAAAGCAATGCCGCTATGCTTATGACTAAAACTTACACACTGCCATGAAGCAGATACTTTTTCCTAACAATACTATACTAATAGACTAACACATCCAAATACAAATATCAACTATCATCAGTTTCAATATAACTAGACATCTGCATTTTTGTATAAATCCTAAAAATTCAATTAACACTCGCCGGTAAAATTCTTTACAGTTTGGATCTATCCAACAGGCTCAGATTTTAAAAGGGCATTTTTAACAGCAACCAGACACTTTCAGAGGTGACAATCATCAATCGGAAGGAGCACACTTCTGTCACAAGCAGCGACCATGTAAAGTATGCTTGTGTCTACTGGAAGCTTTAAGGTTGCAATACGAACAAACGTAGGTTTTTGTATTCAAGCATTTGTACTTTTATGTATATGTGTTTGGGCATTCAAACCCTCTAGACACCTAAAATACACTTGTGCGTTCACGTGGTTTTATGTTGAGATATCCTTTCATCCAAGATTTCGGAGCAATGAGATTGGTAATAATATTACTAGGTTCTTTATTTTCCATCAGGAAGATGAGGGAGATCGGGAGAAAAAGATGAGCAACAGCTTGACTAGCTCCCTCTACCCTCAAAGTACACTTTGGTGAGTTTAGAGCAGTGAACATGAATAGCCTTATTGAAAGGGTAAATGAACAGGGAGATGGGAAAAAATGAAAGGATGAAAATGCAGGATTATTAGCAACAATGCAATGCATTTTCATTGGCAATGAAATCAATAAGAAGACATTGCAACAATTCATAATGCAAAATCGAACATCAAACTTCAGAGAATAGGAGATTTATGAGAAGTAAACACCAATGTGCTTGATTGAGCTAGTTAGTGCTGCATAGTAGATAAAGAATGAAGAAAAGTGCTTGACAGCGCAAACGACATGAGTTTGCACAGCGCAAACTCCTGTCGTTTGAGCTGTTTAAGGACTTTCCTTCATTCTTTGTCTAAACACCAATAAATGTAGATTTTCTTAAAAAAATAATAAGAAGAAGAATATTAAACTCCGAAAAACACCCTCGGAATTTCAGGCAAAATAAACTCTGAAAACACGGAGCTCCAAATATTAGGCAGCAGGCAGTAAATATGGTATGTCACTGTCAAAACCATAAACTAAAGACACAAGCTGATATTTACTTGGGAAGACAAGCAAAAGGTTTTTACAAAATCGTTAATGCGACGCACTTCTGGCAATATTCATTCAGTGCTAAGAAGAACAAAACGCACATGTCTAGAAGAAGACTGACATCATTAAAGACAGAGGAAACGGTCACAGTACACACACAAATTATTTCATGAAGCCACACACCTATATGATGAAGCCACACACAAAAGGACATAATCGTGGGACAATAGATCTGTCCTTCAATACTAATCGGTGCATTTAAGACTTGTAAAGAGAGAAATTGCCCGTTCATGCTGGCCATGAGTCTGTAGACTTGTCGAAGAAGAGAAAAAAGAAGAAAATGAAAGAAAGTAAAATAAGCTTATCCAACAAAGATATATAAAAAAAGATAATAAATTGAGGAAGAAAAAAAAGAAGAAAGAACACAAAAAAGAGGCCAAAGAATGGGCCATTATTCAAATATTCCATAGAATTTTATAAAACCACTCAATTCTTGACCAATCCCCCACAGTGGGTATGAGCCACAGGACAAGGTGAACAACAAAAACAACTCCACATGGCCGGCAGAGAGAAGGAGGAGGCAGAGCAGATTGGAACGGGAAGAGGTGAAGACGAGCAGTGGCAGCGGGAGGCGTTTGCCCGAAGTACTCCAGCAAAGCTCCTAGCATGGTGCCCCAGCCTTATCATCAACGCCCTGTGGGCTACGAGGCGTAATCAGGAGTGGAACTCGACTGAGCGATGTCTCCCTCGTGCGGATGCGCGAGATGCTCTGCGCCTACGCTCCGTAGGCTGAGCATCACAAGGACGCGCGATACAGCCACTGTGGGGACCCGACTCTGCCCTGACGAGTTACTGCAGGGACCAGACAGTGCATCTGACGACCCTGCACTGTGGTGCGACAGACTTCACAGATGCGATGAGACTTGACACGCTGACTACAGAGCTGCCACAACGTCAGGGCATGCACCTGTACTGTAAATATAATTCACTAGTCTGTTTATATAGTAAAGGACCGCGATAGCGTACTTTGCATGTTTTCTGCTACTTGGGTTTTTCTTCACTCAAAGATTTTTCATACTCCTTATGTTGCTGTGTCGTGCTTTAATGTCAAAAGACCATGACAATGCTTCTTTAACGCACTTAAAAAATCGTGTCCACACGAATTTGAAGCCAGCTTTCCTAAGCAGGTTAGCCACTTCAGGTACTCCGGCTATTATTCAGACCTCGTGGTTTCTGCAGCAAAAACTTGCACAGGAAGACAAGAAAAACAAATGGCACCGAATGCAGGGACTCCCGGAGCACTGTGGTCATATCCTATGTTAACCACTTCGCACGATCTGCTGAAGCAAGTTTAAAAAGCCAGTGCTGATGTAGGGTTCTCAGTACCAGCACGACAGTCAGGCCTGCACAGAAGGGTGAATGGTGCGAAGAAGCATACGCACCTGAGCACAATCAAGCACCGTAACACCTACGTCACTAGCAAAGAACCGGTGAATCGTAGGATTCCGTTCACCATGCTAAGGTTTACATTTGTCAGACAGGCAAGTGCGCGAACAAGCAGTTACAATCGCCACTTCTCAGAAAAAGGTTCTGGACATTTGATATTTCATTGCAGGTACTGCGGTGGTGCTCCCACTCATTAAAATGCAGTGGTGCAGCTCGTTAAAATGTATACATGTGAGCAAGAACAAGAAGCAAAACCAGCATACGGACATCCGACTTGCACCAGTACAAACGCAGGAAAAAACAGAAATACTCGAGGCAACAGACATCAATCAATGGCAAAATAAATGTGTCAGCTGCCCTCAGTATCACTCTCTCAAAAACCTGCTGATACCTTGGCCTATAATCACATATTGTGTGCCATATTTATCAGGAACACGTCATATCTGTGGCCTCGATCACCTTCACTGCTCTCAGTGTGCATGCGCATGTTATTCCACTTCAGTGGTCTTTCCAACAATAAAGGCATCAGTTGCGATACAGCACTTGCGTTCACATCATTTCGTACGTGTGTGATTGTACCCTTTTGTGTGCTGCTTCATCAAACATGATGGCTGACTGACTAGCCCATCAGTACATATTGAGCATGTATAAGTGGCTAAGAAAAAGGCAGTCCAACTGCAGCCTTCTCGACAAACGCAAAACTAGTTTATTCAAGCTGCACAACACATTTACGACAAAAAAGAATTGTGCCCCCCCCCCCCCCCCCCCGGAAGAAAGAACACAAATTGATAACCAAACTGAATACAATATACAGCACACTCTACCTGTTCATGATTGTGAAGTATTACTATAAACACCCCAGTGCATGCATACTGTATTTGCAGATGTTTAAAGACTATACACAAATCCAGGCCACCAACTAGTTCATATTGTGAAATGTAACAACTTAAAGAGGCCTTCCAACACTATTCCAGCCTTCATTTTTTTTACTTGCGGGTTTGACAGGTTAAATGATTGAAGAAGTGATGTGGCAAAATTGACAGCAGCAGGGGATGCGGTCACTTGTTCACATCCCAGAAAATCCAAAAGAAAGAAAAAAAGCACACGAACACCTCTCTATTTCCATGGAGCCACATGACCACATTTCACTTTGCTCTGGCATTTCAAGTGTCACAAATGAAATGAGCTCAAAGGTCCTACGTAGAGGAAGCTTGAATTGTTGCCCCAGTAATTCTAGTGCAGCGATCACACTATTACCACAGTAACAAGCAAGATAAAGTTGCACCCCTAGAAATAGGGCGAGACCCACAGCATTGTGTCGAGGTGAAAAATTCACATTTTGAACACCACAACAACACTCCCGAGTGCGAAATAGACACAAAAACGAGACTGCTTGAGAGAATATACAGGCAAGAAGGTAAACTGTTACGTAGGGACAAAGCTCGCGAGTGAATTTTTCCATGCTTGCAAGACAGCAGGTATCGCTCCTATAGTGAAATCAAGCTGCACAGCTTTTTTTGTGTGTGTGTGTACAGCATTGCACAGCTTTTTTTTTTTACCAAACTGCATGATCATGTTGGCATAAAGAGTAGAGAAAAACAAAATTGAAGCTTAAAACTTCCACCATTCCAACAACAACCAAGTGTGCCATATGTGTGAAACGAGGCAGCTCGTTAAAATGTATACATGTGATCAAGAACAAGAGGCGAAACCAGCATACGGATATCCGAATTGCACAAGCAAAAAGTGAGAGGTGAAATGGTTGCTGCCAGTAATCTTTTAACTGCTCTCTCTCGTTTTTTTTTTAATGCCAACTTTATGTTGACTGGTAAAGTATGCAAATGTAAGCTTGATCATAATCTCTGTTTTAAAGCATTGCCTCAATAACCTCTGATGTTAGAGTTTTCTAGACTTGTGCGAATAGCGAATTGTAAGTTAGAAGCAAATAGTGATTTTGGTCAAATAAGTGCGAATCAAGTTCAAATGATATGTATATCACACATTATGAAGAAAAATGGGCAAATTTTTTATGATTCAACTAACCCGCACTGTATTTTTTAATGATTGAAACAAGGGCTGTGACAATGCCATTCTTTTTTATTAAAAAGAAAGTGGAAACAACTTTGAATAGGAGGATTCAACATTTCGTAGAATGCAAGTGATAACCTGAAAAATATGTTATGTTTTGAAATTCAGTATACTTCAAGCATATAAGGTGGTATAGCAAGCTTTGAAACTAACGATGAATTGATATGAAAAAAATATGTTCACTCAACTTTGAATTAGGGCTTCGCTGCAGTGCTGATTTCCCCTGAATAGACGTTTCCACAATTTAGCATCTCTTTACTGCAGTGAAACCACCTTTACAGTAAGTTGCATGCGAATTGTTATACATTTAAATAGATACTTTCATGGCGTAGCAGCCCTTCACAGGTACGAAACCAACTTTTGGAAGGACTAGATGCGGACTAATATACATCTATGCATTCATTTTGAATACTTCGAAATTTTCAACAACTTATGTTCAAATTGAAGCAAATTCAATATAGTAATATTCGTTACAATATTAGAAGCACTTGTATATTCACACAAGCATAGATTTGTCCGATCAAAGACCAGGACTCTTTGCAGCCACTTCCCTTTACAATAGTTATAGCAAGCGATACTACACACTGATACAGACAGCAGTGATGCAGTGACTTTACAGCAGGATGACAATAATAAATATATTTATATCGGCGCTTTGACGGCAATTCACATCTCCAATAAGAGAATCAATCCAGCCCCCCAAAAAAATTGTAAAATTAAGTGCGCTCTTGACCTTTACAGTTTCTTGTCTGCATGAAAACGTTCCATGTGCCGGGTGAGGTGATGTTTCAGTGTAAAGGACACACCGCAGTGGACGCAGGAAAAGGGACGCTCGCCCGTGTGGGTGCGAACGTGCTTTCTGAGACTGCCGCTGTCCCTGAAAGCGGCTGGGCACACGTAGCACTTAAAGTGGCGCTCGCCCGTGTGTTTGCAAAGGTGTGACTTCATGTGTGGCCTGTACTTGGTCGCATAGCCGCACTGCCGGCAGAAGTGCAGTCCGCCTTGGAAGGACACGAGTGAATCGTACTGCTCCAGTGACACCGAAGATGAGAAACCTGAAAAGCCACAGGAAGCACAGAAACACAATGCAAATGGTGTCACATACTTAGTCAAGAGTTCCACGAAAGTTCATCTGGTTAGATATTGTGATGATGTGGATGCAGTCGCTGACCAAGTCAAGGTGAAAAAACACTGACATTTCAGGACCTACACGGGTTCCTTGTTCACACTAAGCTGTACATTGCTTTTTTAGGCTAAAATGTTTTGTGATAGAACGTCCTTTTTTGCGCTAAAAAAACAACCTACGGCTCTTGCTGGCTTAGTGTTGAGAAGGAACCCATATGGACCCCGAAATGTTTCTGCGTTTTTTCACCTTGACTTGGTCAGCGACCGCATCTACATCCTCAGCGTCACGTACTAGACCTAAACTCGTATACAGCACTAGACAATCAAGGGTCGCCGAACTTGTAAGTGATGTTGATGACAACCCTAGCCTAATGAACCACATGTCAGTTACTGCAGTTTAAACTGCCCACCGACCCAGTCCATATGACAGACAAATTCTGATCTGTACATAAATACTATGCTTAATATATGGATGCAAACACTTGTTGCCATTACATAGCAGCAACATATGATTAAGTTTCACACACTACACTCACTTTAACAGCCAAAACTATTAGTACACTGGCCAGCAGTTTAAGCACTAAAGTACAAAACTGATACTTTTTTAGCATAGCACTGTCTAAACAATAGCACACTGGAAAAGCATTGTGAAATTTGACCCCATGATGGATATGAAGCGAAATTTGTGCCACAAACTGCAAAATATGGAAAAGAAAGACACAGAGCTCAATCACAACGGTTTCAATGCCATCAAAGTTTCTGGTAGAATAATTAAAGGCGTATTCGGGCTATAAAGAATATTTCTGCTTCACATGTATTGGCAGAGTTTGCAGACTACTTCTAAATGTTTTTATATTGCCTTAGTGAAAGCATAACGGTAGAACAAAATACCGTAAAAGACTTATTTGCCAAATGACATTTCAGTCAGTTATGGAAGCACATAAGAGCAGATACTTTATATTATCATTAGAAAATTCATGATCCTGAACAAATATAAAAATAAACATTCAAGCCATGTTGCAAAAGCTGCATCGACATGCCTAAGAGATAACCCCGAAGCCGCTCAAGCTCATTCACACCAGCGCGCAGCATCGGTCGCGCGATCCGTGGTGAGTGGCAACCAAGCGGCCCCTTGAAGCGACTGATGTACACACCACCGAGCGACATACACTCATCACCACACAGAGTGCACCTTTAATCCAAGTGCTATTGCCCCGTCAAATAAGCTCATCGTGCTCCAGGGACTATGGTTTAGAAGTTTGCATCTGTAAACTCGAGCAGCTAGCAACCAAGCGAAAGAAGTCGCGTAGCAATCAGAGCAGCCATTCGAGACAATGTGCAGACAGTTGCATTGCAGCCAATTTGCTAGTGCGACCAGTGGTAGTCGCAGGTGTGAATGAGCCTCGAGAGAGAGAGATGACACCATAGAGGGTGTAAGATAATTTTCAGCCTCCCAGGTCATTTTTGAGATGCATTGAAATTGCACAGTACACAGACCTGCAGCATTTCATGTCCACCAAAATGCAAACACCATGGCCCGAATCAAACCTTTTTTTTTTTTTCGGGTCAGCGGTCATGCACTGTTACCACATGGCACTGCAGTGGCTCAATTTATCAACTGAACAAAGCAGTACAAGCATTTAAGGCATCGGGGTGTTCACGTCATGAGCCCCTTAAATGCAACAACTTAACAAGGTTTAAAATGCATGGCTCTCAATGAAGCTTTCAAGAGGAATGTCATTTGCTTCGTTATATCCACTATTTCGTTACATCCCATTATGTTATAACGAGGTTTGAGCGACTCTGTATGTTACGCAAGAAAGAACTACAAAACAGTTTCAACAAAATATGAAACACCTCACAGAAAATAATAGATTCAAGTGAAAAATAGTGTCAGGGGCGATGGTGCAAAAAAGAGTTAAGTCACACTCAGTTGCATATAAAAAATGGTCGTTCTTCAGCTAGTGAGATTTCACAAAAATAAAAGGAATGAAGTTAGTTGGACCACATTAGTTTCAATAACCTGTTGATTTGAAAGCACAATGCAAGAATACAAATGCAAAGGATGAGAGGACTTAACGCATAATGAACATAGAACTTACATCATAAGCTGATTTCAAAATCATTGCTAAAATAGTGCAGTGCAAAAACAAAGTGCCGTAACTATTCATAGCTGTAATTACCCACTGGTGCACTGTTGAACCACCAACTTTCATGTGCACTGTTGAACATGTGCACTGCTGAATAAACTTTTGAAATAAAGCATTCATTGCTAAAAACTCAACCTGAACAAATGCTTTTAAAAACTTTTAGAGTTTGTTAATGCTGACAATTGTAATCTAAACACTGTAATACCCCACCCCCCCTCTTTTTTTTTAGCTCTCTTAAACTAAGGCGTGCCAAAGGAAATATTTTTTTAAGGTAACTAATCACATCGAGCAAACAACTGCACATGCCTTCACAATCTCAATGTCATAACAAATCAATGTACTAGGGATCAATGGCAACGTCCAAAACTTGCAACTTCTACGATGCTCCGTTGAAAGAATGGACACATCTGCAATAGCACAGAGATCACCATTATTCCAGGCCTGAACACGCACGGCACATTTATACGAAACTTTACCACTTGCACATGAAAAAATTACCCACAATCAACCACCTTTCTTGTCGGTGTTCAACAATGGCAACATGATATACTCAGGAAAATATATATGGCCAAGATTTCACATAATTTGTTAGACCTACCAGCTGCATTTTTTTACAACCGAGTAAAAAAGATGTACATTATCCAGTGTACAGTGATTACAGAATTGAAAAGTTGAATAAATAAATCTTATCTGACACATTTTTGTACAGTAGTGCTGATATTTCCTGCAGGCACTGGGATAGCTTATTAGGTGGAACTGACAATTGGGTGAGTTGTACGGATGCATTTTTTAAAGAAAACGGCCCAACAGAGATGACGAAAACACTTTTCAACCATGTTTCTTGGTTGCTTGCAGGGCTAGCTAGTTCACTTCAACATAAGCAACAATGCATAAAACTATACAGGACGACATAGACAGAGAGTAGAGACTTGTGGGCATCAGCCAGTGCATTACTTGCCGATAGCTTTTTTCCCTTGATTTTACTTTCTCGCTTTACCTGCTGGGTCTGCTTATGCATTTATACCCGGTATCGTTAGCGGAATAAAACAGCTGGCAGAAACAGCGCTTCCTAAACAATAACATATTATCCTGAAAGAACACTATGGCTATAAGCTAAAGGCACATTTGGAAAGACATGTTGGTGTGCCTATACTGTCAAAGCTCTTTCAATGTTTTGAACAATGCATACATCATCAAGCTAATAGAGCAGTACACTTGAACCTCGGCACAACGAACTCGGATACAAGAAATTATTGGTTATAACGAAGTAGATAAAGAACAGTCTTGCCATAAACACAGCGTGAACAGTGTGACAGAATTATTTATAACAAAATTTCGTATATAACGTAGCTCAGAACAGACGTGACTGTTATGAGGTCTGAGTGTACATGCAATTTAGTCATCAAAGTATTTGGATCATGGAAACACAAAATGCACAGACTGATATATGAATGTCGCAACGTGAACTAAGAAAACACAGCACATACAAGGTACAAAGAAAATATTGATGCAAGTGAGAATTAGGCTACATGGTGAAAGTGGAAGCAAAGCACAACAAAAAGAAACAAAAACAGAAACAAAAAGGACAACATGGCTAAATACAGAACAAGGTAACAAAAAAAAAGAGAGAGGGACTTCTGATATACAACGGCCTACAGAAATGAAAAGCCTTGACCAAGAACAGCTACCTTGTTAAAACACCCATGAGTGCACGACACATACGAAATGACGTAGCTCAGCTGAGCACACACTCAAGAAAGAAACCTTTACGTCACGACAAACCTCGCACGTCCATTTTTCTAGTTCTATGCTTGGAGGGGCCGCAGAGCCCTTACGGCATTTCCAAGTTGCACGGACTCTTTTTTTGTTTCAAATGAAACTGTCTATTACTGCTAGCATAAAAATCAATGCAAATGGATCGCTGGAACTCTTAGTCATAGGCTCCCGAATTCTGAAAATCTCAAGATATGCTCGAAATTTCTCAGCACTTTCACAGCGTGGTGCCTGCAAACAGCATTCAGAGTTGTCACAAATTACCAGAGCATTCGATAAAATGTCTTTCCCACTAGTGATAACACCAGAAATTTCCTTTTAGGATTTTGTCTAGTTCAGTAGAAGTAGTAAATGCATGTATATAGTAAAGAAGAGGAAGTACTCCGGCGCAGAGGCAGCAGCATCGAGCGTGCAGGAGAGGGTCGATGCTGCTGCCTCTGCGCAGGAGTACCTCTTCCTTGCCCCTTCTTTGCAATATTATATAATACATTTAATTACAACAACAGGTGGTCATTCTTTTTAAAGGTTATTACACTCACATCTTGAATTTTTTCGTCCGTAACCGAGTAAGGGCCCCCTCTCTAAATCTTTTCCCATTATCTCTTCACAGCAAAGAAGGGTGCGGGAACACACACACGCACACACGCACACACGTGCGCGCGCTAGGTGAGGATTTTACAGTAAGATTGAGGTTATAATGACTAGAGTGATAAGCATAAATGAGCAAAGAAATCAGAGAAAAAGTAATCAACTTCACTTTCCTCCCTGCGCTCACCACGGGACAGCGTAATTTACTTTTGGCAAAATGACATGTATGTGAAGTCCCCTAAGAAACTTTTTTAAACAATAAAAAACGTCTCTCTAAGCAACACTGTGAAATAAATGCAATGATCTAATAACCATTCAATGCAATTAATGTCCACAACAAAAAAAAATCAATCTAGCCCCACAAAAATAGACCATGTGCCCTTGGCTGTTAGAGCTGTTTGTTTCCAAGACAATATAAATACTTTCGATGACTTAATTAGATGTACTGCCTTGTCAATGAATTAACAAACCAGTGCATGTAGCTTCATCGTCAAAACTACTAATATCATGATACACAAGCTGCACCAATCCACATTTGAACATTGCAACATGAAGAAAATAAGACAAGAAAAAAAAATTGGCCCAAGGAAAGATGCCACCAAAGCACAACCTAAAAAACAGAAACGAAACAAATGACAGGGCAGAACACATAATTACCATACATAAGATTTCCACTGTAAAGTTATTTCAATACTACATTATTAACACATAGCAGTGCAAGAGCCAAATGCTTCTGAAATGTGTTGTGTTGACATACGATAAAATATTTTTGTCTAGCCTGCGCTAAGTTTATGAACATAAGAACATGTGCACTGATAATAATCATTGGGATTTAACATCTCAAAATCACCATATGATTATGAGAGATGCCGTTGTGGAGGGCTACGGAAATTTCAACCACCTGGAGTTCTTTAACGAGCACCAAAACCTAAGCATGCCGGCCTCAAAGAGTTCTTGCTGCCATCAAAAATGTGTCTGCCATAGCCGGGATTCGATTTTGTGATCTATAAAAATGTGTGCACTATTGAACAATTTTGCAAGGACAGGACCAAGCTACGAAGCAAGACATTTCCTACACTGAATCAATGCTTTGTGAGACAGACACAATTCATTTAAGCTGGTGATTAAAACTTAAGCAATGCAATGAAATAGGCACCACGTTATAATACTGTTACACTAACACATAGAAGAACAAATATCTGCTTTCACTCATTTTAAGATAACGAATTAGAGACGGCAGCCAGCAAATATCTGGCAATGTTCATAGCATAACTCTTATATGGTACTTCGTAGATGGAATGGACGCATCTGCAAAAAAAAGAAAGAAAATCAATGTTAAAGCTTGTGCAAATGCTCACAGTCACAGGCGTACCAGTTAGGGGGGGGGGGGGGCAAAAGAAACGTGAGCCCCCCCCCCCCCCCCCCACTGAGCATTTGACGTCCCTGTTGGCTGCACTGCTGGGGAAACTTGCAATTAACACGAAGTGTTCTTTTACCAGAGTAATCACTCAACCATGTTTTACGAGAGAATGTTACAATATAGTGAAATTTCATCAACATTTTTGCTGTGACAATTTTTGTTATAGGCTCTTTGCGGTGCGGGCCGCCTATACGGAGCTTTCACGCCTTGTGTTGTGTAATACTACATGACTGCCA